AGATTTCCAGTGTAGATTATTTTTCGAGCAGTTCTACCCATCAGTTTTCTATAGGGTCAGAAGAACTGTTGTTCTGCATTATGAATTGCATACGGCAGCATAAAACAAGGATAAATCACAAGGACAAGATTTGATAAATAGGAGACAACAGATAAGGAGTTCACCTTCAATAAACAGTTGAATTGTGACTACTAAGGTCTGGCGTTGAAAGCAAAATAGGAGATACTTGGTAAAGAGAGTTACACTTCAGTAGCGTGACTGCCACATAGGCTTTCCATGGCCTTCATTTAAAGCTACAGCTGCTTAGCATCTCTGAAAATCAGACACAAAGGATAATATTGCATTTAAAGCCACGGAAAGTTTATGCACGCAATGCACTGTCTTCTGCCACCAATAATCCTGGAGCATAAACAAGGTTATTTCATGAATGAAAAATGAATGCATTTATGAATGAATGGATGTGCTTTCCAAACAGTCATTAGGGCAGAGGGCAGTAGGGTGTCAGAAGAGAGAGGTTTCTTTTCCTAACACTCAGACAATCTGATCTCTTTCAGAGTTTGACTCCATGAGGAAAGGTAAAGCACAAAGCCATCTTGGAATACCTTAATTTTGGTCTCTGTCGAAGACCATATTCCCTCGTCCTCCACAACCACGCACATCCAGTTTACTCAAGATTACTGCTGGCCAGGTGAAAACAAGAGGGAATGCCATTCCTGTCATCACTCCTCAACCAGAGAGTCTGAGAAGGGCACATACATGAAGCACCTTGGTCTACAGACAGGTCATGAAAAAGGGAGAAACAGAAGAATCACTACAGATTGATCTGAAAGCATACAGCATGAGCCACCTGGGGTATCCACCATAATGGGGTTGAGAATGGCATCAGAGCCAAGAGGGATTTGGTTTAAATTGTAAAGGTTGCATGGTATTATTGTGCTGGTGTGATAGATTTAGCCAAGTTTCATTAGCAAACTCAGATTTAAATATGCTTGTCATTCTAAATACCACTACAGGAATCACAGCTGCTATATTTTCCATGGCAAGTGGAAGGGACTTAGGTGGGAACAAACTTATTCATTACACAGACTTTTCTTCTTAGAAAAACAGCAATTTCTTTAGCTCAAACTTTAGCACTTTAAAAAGAAGATAGTTTACAAGTGTTACCTGTTCTCTCTTGCTGCTTTTGCCACTTCCTACAATATTTGGAAGGTCCTGCTCTCTATTTAAAAGGTAAGTTATCAGATGTGGCTAATAATTCCCCAGCACATCTCTCTGACTGTTGCCTACGTCATCAAGGGAAATTAAATAACCCAGACTGTACCTTCATTGCAACAATGCAGTGCAAAGTTGCTTCAGAACAATTGCAGTTCTGCAGCTGGTCTGTTCCCTTGCCCTGCTTCCCCTCCAAAGCAAAGGAGTTGAGGGAAAGATGCCCAGGGAAGGCATTGCTCTGCATCGCTGCCCAGTGGTGACAGAATTTGTAATGATAATAACATTTCTGCTCCAAAAGCAAGAGTCAGACCAAGACCCTGTACCGGAAAGGTCTCCTGCTCCATCACCTTCTCCAAAAATGTGCACCATCCAGGGAATATCTTCATGGGCCATAACTGACAGACCTCAACTTCCTCCCTGAGCTGTCCAGGTACAAGGCAGCTCTTAAGTTGGTTTCAGCTTCAGCAGTTGCTAAAATGCTGTGCATCATCACTGGGCACAGTGTGGTGATAAGTGAGCTCTGCAACTCGTGACTGGCGTTGGAGAACATCCCACCAGCCTGGGGAAGAGACAGAGGGGAGCTCATGTTGCCATGTGCAGACATGTCCTACATCTGAACGGGGAGTGGGGACACTACACCTTCATGCAGGACATTCAAAACGATTCCTTGAAGCTTTCCTCATTCCTATCTTTCTTTTTCTGACATTGGTGACATTTACAAACATGTATGTCTGAAGCCAACCCAGGGATAAAGCCTTGTGAAGAAATGATAGCTCAGCTAGACTTATCAGACTTTTGTTCATTAGAGAAATCTGCTTACAATGATAACAGATCCTGATCGTAAAACTGTCTCAGGAGGCAAAGCCTTTTCTCATGAGAAGTTCTGTAGAAATGAAGAGGGACCAAGCGCATTGTTGAGTTACCTTAAAGACAAAAGTTTGTACAATGTATCTGTACACATATATCTACTTATGTGTATATACAAATGCATACATATATACTCACACTTTAAAGGTACTTGAGCTTTTCCTTTTCAAATCTGTGACAAGAGTGTGAGGGTGAAAACTTAAGAAAGTTTCAAAAGCTCACAAACATATTCAGTGAAAAAGCTTTTCACATCATTCTTGTACTCAATGTACAGTATTAAAAAAACCCCAACATTTTAATGGCCGACTACTACTTATAAATGATTAATGTATTGTATTGCACGTAAAGTGCTCTCCTGTTTCTAGGAATACCTTGTTGGGTAATATTCTCATTTGTGATTCATATACATGTTCTTTTATAATCACAGTGAAGTAACAGTTTCTGGGGAAGTGGTTTTTAAAAGTTTGTTGGGTGCTACAGGAGATCAAAATATAATAAAACTTACATAGAAGCAAAAATCATGCATGAACAACATCACTAGCTTTAACAATGGACTGAATAAATGCACGTAACTATAAACAGGATGGACTGAATTTTTCATCCTGGCAATTAATCGCGGAAGGCTACATTCAAATGAACAGGCTGAGCAGATAAGCTTGCACGTATCACCATAACCACTTGCTTCCAAAACATACATATACGTGCCTGGGTTCCCATTGGCAGGGAAATTCTCACTGCAAGATATCAACATAGATCTTTACACACAGTGTTTGGGATACTATATACGAAGAAAAGCACACGTAAAAGCAGTGTCAGCAAATAGTAATCACAGTCTTTATTTCAGTGAGCAGAGAGGTGGCCAGAGCAGCTGGGATGACCTCAAGTTCACATCCCAGCATTACCAAGAAGCAGAAAACAACTGCCAAATATGCCAGATATGACACTTCAAGATTTAGTCACCTGTTGTTTTGTTTTAGTGAGGGAAGACATTGAGGTAGTGGCTAGGAATGACATTTTGCTTGGCTTTTTGAAATAAAAGGAAATACTTTCTGTAAGCATGGAGTAAGCAGAGCACTGAACAACTCTAACAGCAGATCACCCCCAAGCTGAAACAAAATTCTCACAGTGACCACAGAACTTCTACTACTGCCCATGCAATCCTGGCGGGGACTCTTGAATCTCACCTATCAGTGCCAAAAACTAGAAAATAAATGGATTTCCAGCATAGCCCTCTGCATTTAGAACCAAATTGTTTAGCTGTGGGGCTTTGGCACTTTTGTTAATAAAAGTAAATTGAAAGTGCAGTGATCAGCCAGTGAACAGCAGTCTTTGTGGAATTACTTAGTCATCCAGACTGAACACAGAACACATAGGTTAACTTACTGCTTCCCAAATATCAAATAAAAATAAAATATGAAGAGAACAGCCTAAGTCTGATTTAAACAATGGAGGAAAAGAGCACAGAACAAAATGTTACAGAAGTAAAGGATTTTTTTTCTAGAAAATTATATGGCTAGAATAAAATTATAGAATTGTTCAGAATAAAAGAAATGCAGCAAATAATATATTTTACCTATATAAAGATTGGTTTTGAGCAATTGTATTGAAATGCAGTGTTTTGAATGCAATATCCAAATATCACAATACTCCCTTAATACAGAGCTATATGGATCTTATTTGGCCAAAATAAACTACAGAATAGAGAAATCTTAGAGGCTTAAATTGCTCTGGGATTTCTGTATAGCCTCTTTGCAGAAATACTAACCCAAAATGTAATGTAAGAAAGGCAGCAATATTTCGAAAACATCAGTACAAGGGAGTGACAGGTATTAAAGACACCCCCTACCTTCCATGTCTCCACTGTAGATGCCAGGAGCCCTGCCAGGTCTCTGTGTGTGTGCCAAGCTGCCACACAATGGCCAAGGGCAGAACCAGGTGGGACCATCCCCATGCCCTGCCCCTGGGCTGCACTGGGGGAAATCCAGAAACACCAGCAAAAAGAGAAGTGGTGCATTCAACGGGCTCCTTGGTCTGGACAGTGGAGGGACCAGGACTGCCAGCAGGACTGCAAAAACTACCTGCTGTGCTGCTTTCACCTAGGCTGGGAGATGCGAGGCCTGTTCTCACCACTGCTGTGGGATTGCAAGTTAAGGGTGGCATGTTCCTGTGTTTCTGTCTGCCCTCTGGGATATCGGCTCTCACCCACCCTGAGTGCAGTCAGCAGGGTCACTCTCTTGCTGTGTCTGCATGCTACGTGACTCCAGTGCTGCCTGCGCTTTCATGCTCTACTGTTACACAGTAAAAACAGGGAAGGTTTTCTGCTGAGGCAACAGTCAGTACAAAGCACTACCACAAAGACCGCAAGCAAAAGCCACCCACGACAACAAAAGAGAATTCAGGATGCACAAAACAAGTCTACACTGTTTATTAGCATTGTGTGAATAACTTGCCAGGCCTTCTCTACCTCCACCCTCTGTGCTTTAGTACCAAAAGGTATTAAGAAGCACTCCAAACGCCTGAGTCTGACTCTAAGAGGCTAAAAATCTTAACAGAAATTGCATATGGAATTCCCTTTCTTTCATAAGCTTCAGAAACATACGCTTTGAAATCCCCAGTGCTCTTCCATCAAACAATGTAGAGGTGAACAAATGTAGCAAAGACCAAAGGTATTACAGGGAAGATTCTTCTCTGCCTTTCATTGCATTTTACAGCTGCTCACATTTGTACTCTAAGTTCAAAGCTTGAACACAAACTGTCACTGTCTGACAAAAACTTTGCGCTCTGTATAAAAAAGCACTCAACCACATTTTCAACAGCATTTTTTCATCTCCAAGAAGAATATTTTAAAATATAAATCATACTTCTCAAAGCCACTGCCAGTACCCAAGCGCTCCCCATGAAGACAGTTAACTGCACCCTACCCGTAGAAATGATGCTCCTCCGACCGCTTGCTCTGTTCCCTGCTTCTTCTGCCTCAGAGTGCTCAGATCAGATCCTGCCCCGGAGAAAAAGCAGAGTCAAAGGCTTGCGATACTCAGAGCTGAGTCCTGGAGTCAGGCTGCAGGAGGATCAAGGAGTACTGGGCTGAAGCAGCATGGAAGGGAGACATATCAAAGTATACTATCGCTCAACCATCATGCACAGGTAATCTCAGAGCATCTCAATTTGAAACTGTTGGTCACCATCTGGTGATAAAATAAGGAGATGCCAAGTTAGTTAAAGTAAGCTTGTGCATACTGGTATATTTTACTTACACTACATAATGAAACCCGTTGTCATCTTCATTCATACTGTTGTGTCTTTCCCACTTTAACAGTTTTATACAATTTGTGGGGGTTTTTTCTCTCCTTTGCTTCAATTACAAGCTGATTTCATCTTTCCATCACACATGCACATGCACATAAGACTGGATGCACTTGGGACTGGATGTGGCACTTAGTGTCATGGTCTAATAACGCAGTGGTAGTGGATCAAGGGTTGGACTTGATGATCTCAGAGGTCTTTTCCAACCCAGCTGATTCTATGATTTTATAATTCTGTGGTACCCTTCCAATTCAAGATGCTTCTAATATGAAAGGAAGATAAGTGCAAAAGAGACCTACAAAGTCATGCCACTCCTAAAAACAGGAACAGAAGTCAGCCATTGGGATGAATTTGCTAAACAAGGTAGAATTAAAGGGTTAAAAAAAGCCCCACAACTCTGGTTCTTTCTCTACTTCACAACTCTTTGGTGTGCATTGGTGAATCCTGGACAGCACCAAAATTAGGCCTAGTTGACCTTTAAAAGAATAATTTCCTAACACGTTGAGATGTTTTAAATATATGTAACAGCTTTAAACACCCAAAGTGCTCTGCTTCTAATTATTTTTGCTACATGTGAAATATTTGAGGAAAATGTAGATGATATCTCTAATCTGTTAATTACCAGCTGGCTCCTAGCGTGCATTATTAAGCTACTATGGCAGTGACTAATGCCTCTGACAATACTAAATTACCAACAACACCTTGTGGAGGAATGTGACCTGAGCAGCCTAGAAAGGACTAGCCGCAGGTGTTTATTTTCAGATAAAGACAGTTTATTAACTCAGGCATAAGACAACAAACCTTAAATACCACATGCACATGTCTGGAGGAGGAGAAGGGCTGCACCCCAAGCCCCATGCGCTGCCTACCCCACGGGCACCACCGTGCCTCGTGGTTGGAGTAACCCAGACACCTGCATCTCACTCTCTTTGCTCATGGGACAGATGGGGAGGAGGAAGAGCACCCAGGATTCCTCTCTGGAGGTATTTTAGATGCAGTGGGCTTTGCAGACATGGCACACTGCTCGGTGACTTTGGTAGGGATGCTGATTGTGCAGAGCTGGTGCATGAAGGATGTTCAGGACTCCACTGCTTCCAGCCCGGCAGTCCCAAAGTCTGTGTGCCCACAGTCACACATCACAGAGGCTCGATGTCAATGTGAGTTTGCGTATCCCAAAAGGGCTGGGCCCTATGCCATCCCTTCATACAGTTCAGTAATTCCCTGATGTGAAGCTCACGAGGGAACTCCTGCTGAAGCAAAAGCAGGTTGCAGGGCTGCTCAGCTGCAAGGCATGTGAGGCAGGAGGTCTGAGAGTCTCAGGGATGGCAGGGACTTTCAGCTAGGGAAGATGAAGGAAACTTAATTGCCCACAGAAGGTCCCTCTGCACAGCTGCAGACCAAGCACAGCCGTTTTCCCGTCACCTTTGAATATAAAGCTTTTTTCCCCTTCTTTTTTCACTCAATGCACGTTCTGCCAAATTGATTAAATTAATAACATTATTGCTTGGACAGGAACTTACATGTCTTAGTCCTAAGTGTGTGAAATAACATTACTTTCCTTTCCAATCCTCCTGGAGTGGTTAGGAAAGCCAGTCTTCTCTCGTGCAGTTGCATTATAAAATTGCTGAACAAACCTATTCTGCTGTAATGGGAAGGGACACATTTTCTTCCCTACTGTAAGTAGGTCAATGAAAACATGATGTTGTGAGAATGAAACTGTTTTCCTCCGCCTTCTTCCCCCTAATGGCAGTTTCAAATCATTCCGATTTAATTATGTCTGTAGTGTTAGCTATAATAACATTGTAAGGTTATTAACAACTGATGTATTGGTGGTCCTAAAGTCTGGGATTTGTGCTTCCTTTGTGGGCTTATTTTAGCCTCAGGTATACACATGCAATTCCTATATATAGGAGCACATCATTGCACAGTTAAAAAAAGCCTGCAAAGAAATCCGGATGTGAAATGCAACAACACATTATGAGGCACAAAAATTTAACTCTCAGCTCTGAGATTCACCCTGAGCTTCTGCATCAATGTGATCTCTTTGTAAGGATGAAATTCTATCATCTACTCTAAATTTGAATTAATACTGGCATAAGCAAAGCCAGACTATTTTCAGTGGAACTATTACAATTCATAGCAACTGGAGACTTCTCTGCATGTGTATCAGGAGGGATTAACCAGTAGCTGGAGAAACATTCAACTTGCAGCTATAACTATCAGAATACTAAATGCAAATTTAAAGGCCACTGGAAATAAAAAAATACACCGGAGGAGAACACCCCTCTCCCCAGTGAGAAAAAGGAAAAAAATTACATTACTAAAGAGAATATAGAATGCCTAAAGTATTATCAGAAGAAATGTTAAAAAAAAAAATGGGTGTTGCTTTTCTACTGACTGCCTCTCTCTATTTTAGAACAGATGGTGTAAATTAGTTTTGTTGACATTATCTGAAAAAAGGAAAAAGTAATTAATTCACCTCGCGTAATGCCTGTTGTAAGCTCTCACTCACCCACACAAGCACTCCAAAGGCCCCCCTCTGCAACCAAATGTTTGCCATAGCAAAGGTTACATGCTCTTACAACCCACTCCTTGTATCCTTATCCTGAAAACAACAGGCCTGACTAGGACAGTAAAGCTTAGCAAATACAAGTGGGCACCACTGTATCCTCAGTGTGAAATTTTTACCCTATAAAACCCCATGACTTCAAAGGAAACTTGGATTTCAACCAAAGAATCCAATTACATGTTTCAAATTTAGGATGGACTGTCAAGTGCCAGCTGACAAAGTGATGTCCCCAAGTATTTCAGGACAACAATATTTGAGCTGAAATGCAAAGCCAGCTGTTTATGCCTTAACCACTTACCTAAGGAACATTTCAAAATGAGGAAATTATATGATGCTTAAGTGCCTCCTGCATCTCGGCAAAACGCGTTTCACTCTGCAGAGAGATCTTTGAAACCAGAACGCAGAAAGCATGTCTATCATTAAAGCAATTCCATATGCAGTATTATCACCCATATCACCAAATCATAGGCATGGTAGAAAAGATACGTAATCCACCTCCCACTGTGAGATAAAGCCAGATACACTTCAGTCATGTTTATTAAAGCCATTCCTAACACTCCCAGTGATGGAGACTCCACATGAACCACTGGCAGTGTATTTCAGGGATAACACTTTCCTTCAGTTTACCTCCTCTTTCTTGCTTCACTTTAGATGCATTTCTTTTTGTCTGTGGCACAGAAAAGAGATTAGTGGCCCACTCTTTGCAACAGCCTGTTCTATCTGTGCTTGAAAAACTGCCCGTATCCTACTCACTCCTCAGCAGACTCTTCTTTTTTAGGCCCCCTGGGGCATGTCCTACGGACCTCTGGTCATTTTTACTGCCTTATTCTCCACATTGAAAGTGGTCATCAGTTTCTTTAAGTGCAGTGCTCCAAACTGAACACAGGACCCCAGCTGAGCACTCATCAATGTGGCCATTGCTACCTGCAGGCTGTAGTTCCATATGCATCCCAATATCACACTTTCCTTTTTTTCCTTTCTATAATGCAACAGCTCAACATTGCCAACTCATATTCAACTGGAGATCCACAGTAACCCTTGTCCTTTCCTGAAGAGGTGTTGTCCCACTGGCTGTTTCCCAGCCGGTGTCAAGAGCTACGAGCACACAGAATCCTCTGGAGCTACACACCACCACTGCAGCCTCTGTGCGTCTGGGGAGCCAACTGTGCCTTTGAGATACCTCCTCATGATAGACATCGACTCGTGGGTAGTTTTTAATTAGCACACAGTGCAAAATACTGCAAATCCATCAGGCACCTGGCCAGTATTTGCATAAACTTCCCTCTTTTTATTTGCTCTATCCACCAGTAACAGAGTGGAAAAACAAGGACTATTTCTTCCAAGGCTGAAATACCCAATTTTGTGTCCTTGTTCTATATTGAGCCTGTCAGTGTAGATAGTCATGCCTAGTACAAGCCCAAGCAGTCATCTACAATGGTGTACAACAGAAAAAGGATAGGACTAATGACCTGTGAAATAGGTATGGACAGACCTGGCTGGGGTTGCTTTCTGGCAAAGCTTGGTTTCTCTTGGACGTAACATAATGGATGACTTATTTAGTACTTTACACACACAGTTACAAAAGCGGAGGCATTGTACACAAGGAATTTATTTCCACTTTCAGAAAAAGAGAGTGGCCTGAAACATTATCAGTCCATCTTCTTATTTTATGACTTTTTCATAGAGAATATACTGTTTCAATGAAAGTGGATATTAAAAAGTGTAACAGCAAAGTTTAAGTCCATTCAGTCCAAGTTACCACTGAGGTATGAGTAACTGCATGTGACTCTCAGCAAACACCTATTCCCCCTTCCATGAAAATATACTGTCCTGAGAAGAGTTTATCTAAGCCTGGAAACTACTTTTCTTTCTTCAAAAAGTCTTTAAACTCTTTACACTTTTAATTCTATTTAGGAATCCATTACCAGACTAAATGTAGATGAAGAACTTGTATTTGCTTGGATTCTTTCAACCATCCACTATCTCATTTAGTTATTTAGCTGTATGATTAATGAAATTGTATTTACTATCACCTACAGTCACATAATTGCTTTTTGCCATCATCATTTTAGCAAGTTTCCTCTGCTTACCCCCACTTACTACTATAAAACTAAATTTTATGG